TGTATATTTAACGGTAATGTGTTATTTTGAGCCCTATACATAACTGAAAAATACTGTGTTCTACCAAATCATGGAACTTCAATAACTTATTGATAACATGATATATTATGATATTCAATAACTTAACCTTAATCTTAAGGTGATAGAGATATTTATCAAACCAAAATTCAGAACTAGTCTGAAGGGAAGGTCTACCTCAATCCAAGGAATTGGATTGTGGAATGGTCTAGAGAGTGATGTAAAAAATGCCAAGTCAATGTGTACATTTAAGAAAAAGATCAAAGCTGAATCGTTAAAAAAAAAAAATGAAGTAGCTTAGTGTGTTTTTGTATTAGAATTAGAAAAATTAGAAAGAGTTATTCATTTTGTTCTGTTACTTGAAAATTATTATGATTGAACTAATTGTTTGAAAAAAGGGGCAGATATAAGATTTTTTTTCTTCTTTCTGCTGCCTTTCATTTTAAATCTCCTGTATTTTTTTATATAGTTATGAAACTGTTTTGTATTTTTTAAATGAATAAACTTTATACCTTATACCATATTTATTTTTTATCTTTAGATCCTATGATGTCATCAAGTACTCGAGTTCTACTCAAGTTTTTTTACGTTAATGTCGAGTTTAAAAATTATGTAGTCGTTCAACCCCTAGCCAGCGGTCACTCTTTCAGGGATGAAGATGTTCACATCCTGGATAGAGAGGAACGTTGGTTTGAGAGAGGAGTAAAGGAGGCCATCTTTGTGAAAAGAAACCGTCCATCATTAAACAGTGGTGGAGGCCTCCGTGTTCAACTTTCCCCCTCTTACAATGCTGTTATTGCTAGTATCACTCAGCCCCTTGTGAATAGCAAACAGCCATCAGGGTACTAATGATCCATCGTTAGGCTGATGGTCCTTCTTGATCATTTGAGCAGCTGGTTTTGGCTGTCAGCAGCAAACTGGTTGATCTACTGTGAGAGAGTGCCATTTATAAGACTGAGCTGAATACAGCACCTCAGACTGAGGAAGTCTTTTGGATGAAAGGCAAAACTTTTCTACAGTTTTTTTTGTTGTTTTGCTTTGTTTTTTGAATGTCCAGAGGACTAGATTTAACTTTTTTAGATTTTTCTACCTGGATTATTAAGCATGTATCAGGCTACTTTCCATGTGAAGTTTTTGAGACTTTTCTTTAGTTGAATTTATTTAATTTAATTTCTGATGTGGTTTATTTAATTTAGTTGATCTGTCTTTATCCCCTTATTAAGTGTCAATTATCATTTTCCTACTGCACAGGCACACTAGATTTCTTAAAGAAAAACTAATCAATGCCTCTGTTGGTGATGCTGAATTGATGAAAGAATTTATTTTCAAACTGTCTGTACAAACAGCACGCGGCTGTCTCTGTGTCCCCCAAAACTTTTGGTTTAAACAGTGCGCTGCACAGCTTAAAACAAGTCTCTGTTCCAGCCTCCACCCCCACCCCTTCTCCCGCCCCAGGACAAAAATCACGGACGAGATGAGCGCCCCGCCATGGCAAGTTATTTAGGGGAAACACTGAGCTGTTCAACAGTGTTCAGTCAGGTCATCTGGACAGTTCTTTTTTTGTTGTTGAGAGATGTTTCACCCTCCATCCGAAGGGCTTCCATCAGTCTGAAGTGTCACAAACAAACTGGTTCGTCCACTCTAGGAGTGTACCGCTTGGTGGGGAAAACAGTTTGTGACTTCTCAGATTGATGAAGCCCTTTGGATCATCAAACATCTCTGAACAAAAAATGGAACTGTCCAGATGACCTGACTGATTGCTTGATTATTTATCTGGATTATTGAGCATGAACTTTGATACCAGCTGTTCTTATTCTGCTCTCTACAATCAACATAGTGCAGCTGCAGGTGTCGTTCACCCAGTCCATATAAGTGGTGACTGTAACTTGTCACCACATTCAGTCCTTTGCCAGAGTTATCATCAGTTGACTTGCTTGGTCAGGGCTTTGCATGAAATCCCAGTATGCCACACACTGACCAGTATTCAGCACCTACTAAAACTATTGACTTTAGAAAACAGAATAATTCATGGAATAAAAAGTTATTACATACTGTATTAGTTAGTCCCTTGTTGCTAAGTCACATGTGCTATACATTGTTGCTGAAATTATAATCTCTAAATTCCTAATATTGACAGATCTGATCTGGAATGAAGATTTAAATATGTTGACCTCACTTGGTTTTTGGTTCTGTCCACCCCAGCTTATAAAATGGTCCAGAGTGTTACAGCAGTTGATCAGAGTGTGTTTCTGCAGGATGATCCAGCCACTGATGGTGACCTGGCATTCCAGCTGAGCTCGCAGCCCTCCAGCTCTCACTCTCAGCTCATCGTCGATCTTCCAGTCAACATTTTACAAGCAAGTCAACTTCCTGTTTTCACTTCTTCTGCTGACTCCAACCTTTAGATGCATTTAATTCCTTGGAATTAGTTCGGCACAAACACATAATTTAAAATGTTTTGTATTTAACTTTTGCTCTTGAGTTTAACGACTCTTAGAATAATTGATGGAACTGCTCTGAAGATGTAGTAAATGGTAAATAGTCTGTACTTGTATTAACACCTTGCTATCTAATCAAGATACTCAAAGCTCTTTACAACACAACCCAGTGTTTCCCCTATCATTATACAAGCCCATCAACAGAGCCGAGCGCCCCGTACTGTCGTAACGCTAAGCTAGCGGCTCGCAATGCAGGTGCACTAGCTCAAAAGCTAAAGGCAGCCTCTTCCCTCATGCTGAACCCTCACGCTGACACCCCGTCCCCAACTTGAAAACTGTTTGTACAGACAGCGCACAGCTGAGAAGTGTCTGTCTCTCTTCTCTTTATCTAGGGGAAACACTGCAACCTGCTCCCTCATTTACCTCCACACACACACATTCATACAGCACTCTACTATACACACACATTCATACAGCACTCTAGGGCTGCAACAACGAATCGATAAAATCGATAAAAATCGATGATTAAAAGCATTGGCAACGAATTTCATTATCGATTCATTGTGTCGCGCGATTATGCGTCTTTCACGGCGCTGCGGAGCCGTTTCGTTTTGTTCACGGGCAGTTCATTTTCAATGTTGACTGACTGAATAAAGTTTGGGAAAAAAAAAACTCTGCAGCACGAGTTGAACAGAGCGAGGAGGAAGCAAAGCAGAGGCTGTTTTCAAAGGAAATTAAGTAAATTTTACAAATGACCAACGCAGTGAAAACTGTTCGACCCAAGTCCTCCAAAGTGTGGGAGCTCTTCACAAAGATAAAAAATGAGAAGCATGCCGCTTTGAAAATCGCCGACACCACACAGGAGAACCACGAAGATAAACATAAACATGTCGGAGTCACGAGGAGGAGGAAGGAGCTCAGCAGATACAGCATGTTTCACTCCCAACTCGTGTTGCAGGTGAGTCTCTACAATTTAACACATTGTTCTGTTTCCAAGAGAGAAAACGTAATGTCAGTCTGTCTGGTAGATGAAGCTGCTGTTTATCTGATTAATGACGGTGATAGAACGTGTGTTACTTTTTATTTATTTAATTGGTACAAGCAGTATTTAAATGTGATTTATAAATAAATCTAACACAAAGATAATAATTTAATGATTAAGCTTCAACTTTTAATTTCCTGGCAAAGTCTGAAGACACTGCAGGTATGGCAAGATGAATTGCATTTAAACACGAATTAAAGTAACTTATTACATCTACTCAAATGTGTGTAATTAAGTATTTTATATATGTGTATGTGTGTGTGTGTGTGTGTTTAATTGCTCTTTTAGCTACTTTTGCCTGAACCTAACACTGTAAGTGAAACAAGGCATTTCTTGAGTTGCTGTAAATTATGTTATAATACATATTTACTCTCTCATTCCAGAAAACAACAACAAACAATGGCAGCTTTCATGATGGACAGACATCATGGACACCACAGCAGCAGTTGTCTTCACTGATAACATCCTTAAATGATCGTCACTGACATGAGGCCTCTGTCGATGGTTGAAGACGAAGGCTTCACTACAATGATCCACACTTTTAATCCAGGTTACAATAATCCACACTTTTAATCCAGGTTACAATATTCCACACTTTGAATCCAGGTTACACTCTTCCCTCAAGGACACATTTTACAAAGTAGCTACATATTGTGCAGGTATAAAGATACATTTGTATATTTTTTTCTGTACATTTATTTTTTTAAGCTATTTGACTAACTTTTATTTTTTATTATTCAATATTTTACTAACAGAATAGTCAAATGGCAACCTGTTTTTTGTGTGAATTGCTATGTCATTCAAATGTTCAATTTTGGAATAAAGGGGTGGAAATTAAAACTTTTTTTTTTTTTTCAGATTCATCGATTAATCAAAAAAATAATCGACCGACGAATCGATTATTGAAATAATCGTTAGTTGCAGCCCTACAGCACTCTACTACACACACGCTCATACAGCACTCTACTACACACACGTTCATACAGCACTCTACTACACACACACGTTCATACAGCACTCTACTACACACTCTCATACAGCACTCTCCTACACATATGCTCATACAGCACTCTACTACACACTAGAAATGTGCGATATGGCATAAAATTTATATCACGATATGTATTGTGAAGGATGGCGATAACGATATATATCGCGATATGTTTTTGGTATAAAACTTGCAATAGGAATTTTAAAAAGCATAAGGTGTCCTTTTGCCATCATATATTTTGAATTACGAAAATTTCACTACTAGGTCCAGAGAGTTTTTAAATAATAAAGAAATCAAGTATTAGGCTTCTTTCTTGTGCAAAACAGTGCAAAAGATATCAAATATGGCTAAAGCTACATGTTTTAAACAAAATATGTTGTTAACTCTGAACAATTTCCAGTCTCACTTGACAAATGAACAGCAACAAAGCAACATTTTACACTGAAACACTTCACCCTCCAAACCTCTAGGGGAATCTCCTTCCAGTTTAACAAGAGCTGACACAAAATTAATCTGTGGCTTTGACCAGAGGGTCTCGCAGTAAAATCATGCAACACAGCATTCTTTTCAGAGATCAGAGAACAGTTTTCTCTAAAGCTGACCGACCAACACTTTAACTTACGATGAAAAAAACAAACTTTAGATGGAACACAGTGTGTTGCGCATGCGTCAGAATACGGCAACACTACGGCAAGTCGGCTGTAGTTAGCTTGTAGCTTCGCTACTTAGCCCTCGAAGAAAATACTTTAACACCACTTGTGCAGAGTTTTCAACTCAAAAAAGTAACGATTAAACTGACAACTCCGATTTTACATCAGACACAGCATTACTGTGGTTAGCTGGTAGAAGTCAGATCTCTATTGTAGGCTAAATTTCTATCGTTTCTACCGTGTACCGTTTATATCGCGCATTCCTACTACACACATGTTCATACAGCACTCTACTACACACACGCTCATACAGCACTCTACTACACACACATTCATACAGCACTCTACTACA